ATGTCGACACAGATGGCAAAATCTGAAACCTAAACCTAATTTATTAAACCTATTTTTTTTATTTCGGTTTAATAAAATAACCGAAATCGATCGGTTATTTACCCGAACCGAACCGATCCGATTGGTTATGTGATTATGATAACCGATCGGTTATTTTTGGAAAATCCGATCCGAACCGAAAACCGATTAATCGGTTTGGTTTTACCCGAACCCGATTAACCCGATCCGGTTGCCCACCCCTAGTAGATACCATACTTTAGGATAGACCCTTAAATTGTCTTGCGAAATTATGATGTATGTTGATTGATGATTGATGAATGATGATTAATGATTGATGATTGATGAATAATGAATGATGATTGATGATTGATAAATTTCTGTTGAGTGATTATGGTTTGTGACGTACATGTTATGTGATGACGTTCTTAATAAATTTATTGGACCGTTAGAATTAGTTAAACTTTTGATATTAATTAAATTTTGGCATGATGTTTAGAAAGATGGGAGAAGTAATAGCCATCAGACCGTCCGGTCCAGCCAGACGGACTGTCCGAAGACAAAGCAGACTAAAACAAAGCAGAAAAATGGCTAGACTGGGTCGGTCTGAAGCCAGACCAACCAGTCTATTGGGGAAGAGACCAGGTTTCTTCACCGCCTCTTCCTCCTGTCGAGTCATCTCTCTCTTTTCTTTCCCTCCTCCTTGCACCACCTTCTGCTTATGCTCAGATTCTTTTCCCCCTCTTCTCTCCTTGCTCCCATCACCTCCGGCGACGAGTTTGACACTGCGACGAGTCAAATTGGTGAAATGATGGTCTAAATTAAATTTCGAAGGTTCAACATGATATATAGAGACTATTATTTACGTAAATTCGTGATTATTTTTTACTTATGAAAGTTAGTTAATGTTTATAATGTGAAAATAAGGAATTCGCGAAATTTGTGAAAGTGCGACGAGTTTGACGAGTCTGACGAATTTGAATCTTTTTTAAAGATCGAATGGTCTAAAAAGGATAAAACTTTGTTGTGATCTTGAGAACATAATGAATGTCGTTAAAATCATATGCAAAAGAAACCTACAAAAAGAAAATTAACATTTATTATAAGTTTTTTTTGTTAGTGTGTGACCAATTTGACCAGTTTTATTATACTCATCCAACTCGTCACACCATTCAAGTGCGACCAGTGTTACTTGACCACTTTATTTTGTAACCAGTTTGACTAGTGTGACCACTTTATGGGTATGACCACTTGACTGGTGTAACCAGTTTTACCAGTTTTTTCTTACTAATTAAACTCTTATACCCGTCAAATGTGACCATTATAACTAGTACGATTATTTTGACACACCGTGGCTCAAGTCCCATATGACTTGATTTTGCGAAAAAACATTATTTCTCACTTTCTAATCGAAACCCTAATTTTTCTGATCTACATATATAACTCCACTAATATGACCCATTTGAATATTGTGACTGTGACTCGAGTCTCATATGACTCGACTTTGTGAAAAAACATTGTTTCTCACTTTCTAACCGAAACCTTAATTTTTCTGATCTATATGACTCTATTAATATGACTCATTTGACTCGGTTTTGTCTCCCTTTATTGTTTATCCAAACACACAAATGAAATTCTAAGAAAACATCGAACTTTGTCGGTGACTTCAAACGGAACCCGTACCTGGATATCTTCGCAAATAGGAGCCGAAGACGATCAAGACGAAACTGTTCTAAAGTGGGAACGAAATTGCGAGAAAAAACGCAACAAAAACTGCCAAAGAAGAGAAATCACACTCTATCTGTTAGAGATAAATGCGAAAATGAAGAGAAATAAAGAAACTGCCCTTTTCTTTGTTCTTCTTTTTTATTTCGAAACTTACACGTGTCTTTTTAAAATATTTGACTTCGTAATTTTTTTTTTTGCTTTATTCATTCTAGTCTTGACACATGTCCTTTTCATTAAGGGTATTAATATGTTTTCCGTCTTTTTCCATGTTTTTTGAAAACCCTAGTTTTTGGAAGGTACTATTTAAAGTCACATATGTCATTTAAATGTATTTTTGTAATATCCGGTTTAGAGCTAAGATTTTAGATAGAGTCAGGGAAGGAAGAAGGTTTGGTGGAAGTACGAGGGGTGCTCAGGTTGCCGGGAATGATTTGTGGTTTAACCGGCTAGCCACTGTTGGCGGGGTTTAGGCGAGGAGTGGGGCCAATCGCCCTCAAGGAAAAGAATCAAGCAATAGACTAATAGTTGAATATATCCATTTAAATTTACGTGGAAAAAAATCATTTAAAACAATATTATACTATCATATATATGTATATATACAAGGAAAAATCTCCAAAAAAACACAGAATTTCCAAATTTTGGCAAAAAATATTGAACTTTTTATTCTATTAAATAAATATTAAACTCTTTAAGTTTGACAAAATAAACACAACTCTTCAACGATTGTCAAAATAAAAAAAATGACCGATGTGCCACAATGAGATGCAAACATGTCAGATTTTTTTTCTTAGTTTTTTTTTTACAATCGAAAAAAGTTCATGTATTTTTTTGAATTACTAAAAAAGTTCAGTACTTTTTTATAATTGGAAAAAAGTTTATGTATTTTTTGGATCACTTAAAAAGTTTAATGTTTATTTGATAAAAAATAAAGTTCGGTGTTTTTTGTCAAAATTGAAAAGTTCAGTGTTTTTTTTGGAATTTTTTTTATTAAATTAAGATTAAACTTTTAAAATTTGACAAAACAAACACTTAACTCTTTTACAATTATCAAAATAAACAAAATGAGAGATATGACACAAAGAGATTCAAATGCGTCAGATTATTTTACTTAGTTTTTTTTTACGATCGAAGAAAAATTATGTATTGTTTTGGATCATTAAAAAAGTTTAGTGTTTTTTTATAATCGTAGAAAAATTTATATATTTTTTGGATTATTTAAAAAGTTGTGTTTTTAGATTTATTTAAGGGTTAATCGTATAAAAATACCCGAACTTTTACAAAAATCCCACATAAATACCCAAACTATATAATTATTATATAAATACCTGAACTTTTCACAACTCCCATATAGATACTCGGACTTTTAATTTTTTTTCAAATCAAACATCCGTCTGTTAACAGCGTCAATTTCAATTAAAAAAAGTGATGAGTCAGCAAAAAAAGTGATGAATCAGCATTAAATATTTTATATGTTGATGACTCAGCATTAAACATCATAATATTTTATATGCACTTAGTATTTATTTTTTAAATTGTTATAAAAATCTTTACATTTTAAATAAAAAATATATTAAAATACATTTAAAAATATTTAAATTTAAAACTATAAAAAAATTTAAATCTTAATCTAAATATAAAACTTAAAAAGATTTTAATTTTAATTTTTTATAATATTTATAAAAATTTTAAATATTACAAAGAAATGAATTGATATAGATATTAAATTTAGATATGAAAATATTTATATAGATTCTATATCTAAAAATATTTACAATTAGTAAAATGTATTTAATTTTAAATACCCTTTTATAAATTAATTAATTTTTATCCAATTATAAATTATGTATTTTTGAATTTTGTTGAAAGTTTATGTGATTTAATTTTTGTTAAAATCGTCACGTAACTAGCAATAGATATATGTCGTGAATAAGAAAAAGAATATAGAAAAGAATCAAAAGGTCTCGAAAATAAAGCAGAATAGAATTCGAAACCACAATTTTTTTTTATAAAAATTAAACAATATTTTTAGATATAGAATTTATATAAATATTTTCATATTTAAATTTAATATCTATATCAATTCATTTCTTTGTAATATTTAAAATTTTTATAAATATTATAAAAAATTAAAAATTTAAATCTCTTTCAGTTTTATATTTATATTAAAATTTTAATTTTAATTTTTTTATAGTTTTAAATTTAAATCTTTTTAAATGTATTTTAATATATTTTTTATTTAAAATGTATAGATTTTTATAATAATTTAAAAAATAAATACTAAGTGCATATAAAATATTTGGATGTTTAATGTTGAGTCATCAGCATGTAAAATATTTAATGGTGACTCATCACTTTTTTTGCTGATTCATCACTTTTTTGGACTGAAATTGACGCTGTTAAGGGACAGATGTTTGATTTGGAAAAAAAATTAAAAGTTTGAGTATTTATGTGGGAGTTGTGAAAAGTTCAGGTATTTATATGACAATTATATAGTTTGGATATTTATGTAGGATTTTTGTAAAAGTTCGGATATTTTTATGCGATTATTTCTTTATTTAAAAATTTTAATATTTATTTGATAAAAATAAATTTTAATATTTTTTAAAAAAATTATAAAGTGGTGTTTTTTAAGGGAATATTACTCAAATAACTCACTTGGGTCACAGCAATTTCAGTGTATACTACCGAAAAAAAAATATTTCAATTTTAACCCACTTTTCGGTTGGAAAAGTCCAAAATACCATTTTCTTTTTATTTTTTACGACCTTATTACGACTAATATATAACTGATATACAATTAAAATAAGACAGATGATTTTTTTACCATCTTTTTTAGAATCCATTGTAACTATATTTAGAATTAATTACGAAATCGTAATAACGAAGTTGTTTTCGAACGGATAAATATCGCATATTCATTAAAGGTAATTTCGTCTTTTGAATAAAAAAAAAGTGTTATGTTTTTTCTGGTGTACATGTGAAATAGGTGCGAGCCGAGTGGGTCATTTCAGTAAAATTCCCCGTTTTTTAAGGAGTCTCTCTGTGTATAGGGAATATTACTCAAATAACCCACTTGGGTCGCAGCAATTTCAGTGTACACCACCGAAAAAAAAAAAAAATTTTGCGACCGACTAATATATAACTAATATACAACTTATTACGACTAATAAACTACTCTTATTTTAGTTGTATATTAGTTATATATTAGTCGTAATAAGGTCGCAAAATTTTTTTTTTTTTTCGGTGGTGTACCCTGAAATTGCTGCGACCCAAGTGGGTTATTAGGGTTAAAACCCCCTGTGTATACCATGGTTAGAAATTATGACATACTCCAGAATGTGTTGGCCCGGCTTACTGTGAAATCCATAACTCGGAATTTCAAAAACCCCAAGTCAACAACATCAATGTCTTCCTCTTCGCCTTCGCCTTCGCCTTCGCCTTCTTGGTCCTGCAAGAAATGCGCCTTCCTCAACTCCCCATCTCAGAAGCTTCATTGCCAAATCTGCTTCACCCCGTTTTCATCTTCGTCTTCGTCTTCGTCTTCGTCTTCGTCTTCCATTCCTTCATCCGACGATTCGAAATGGCCGTGCAGGGCGTGTACTTTCATGAACACGTATAAGAACTCGGCCTGCGAAATCTGCGACACTCGTTCGACGACTTCGTCTCTCCTGAGCTTTGACGAATCGGCGTCTTGGGATCTCGATGTCGACCCGGATTCCTCAGTCGGGTCGGTTTTCTTTCCCTTGAGGCCGTGCAAGCGTGATGATCGGTCTGAATCGGTAGGGTTTATGGAGAATAAGAACAAGGAGCTGTATATGGAGACCGAAACGAAAGGTCTGTCCTTTTTTGTTGAAATTAAGATTAATGCTTTTGGAAAATCTAGGGTTTTGTCTTTTGGGTGAAACTTACTTTGTTTCTGTGAATTCAAGGGTCCCCTTCAATGCTCGAACTACACATAAATCCGTTTTCGTAGATGCCATTCTCTATTGTCGCTTGATTGTAAATTTGAAGTATGATCCTGAATTTGTTGTGTGAATTAAAAAAAAAAAACCTTTTTTTCGTAGATTCAGGAATACCCTCTGGTGGATTGAAGATTCTGAGCTACAATGTCTGGTTCCGTGAGGATCTTGAGTTGCATCTCAGGATGAAATCCATCGGTGACCTAATTCAGCTGCACTCCCCTCATGTGATCTGTTTTCAGGTATTCTAACTTGCCGCATAATGTTTTTACTTTCCTCCTGTGCAACCTTGGCATCTGCAGTTTGAAACAAGCAGCTTGCATGTCTTGTAGGAAGTTACTCCCAACATATATGCCATATTCCAGAACTCTGACTGGTGGAAAGCGTATCGTTGTTCTGTCTCAGCCTCGGAGGCTGGCTCGAGACCGTACTTCTGCATGCTGGTAAAGCTAGTCATTGCTCTTCCCTTTAGGATCCATCTTCGGAAATTATCTCTTGAATTCACATTTGGCGGTAAATCGCAGTTGAGCAAATTGGCGGTGAAATCTTTCAGCCGCAAAATCTTCGGGAACTCGATAATGGGAAGAGAACTATGCATTGCAGAGGTTGAAGTTCCTGGGCACAAGCCGATGGTTATGGCAACGAGCCATCTCGAGAGTCCTTGCCCGGCACCTCCGAAATGGGATCAGATGTTCAGTCAAGAACGGGTAGAACAAGCCAAAGAGTCTCTCATCACACTTGGGACGAACAAAAATGTGATCTTTGGAGGCGACATGAACTGGGACGACAAGCTGGATGGCGAGTTTCCTTTTCTGGAGAAATGGGTCGATGCATGGACGCTGATGAAACGTGGTGATTCTGGTTTCACTTACGATACCAAAGCAAACCCGATGCTGTCTGGTAACCGGATGTTACAGAAACGGTTAGATCGGTTTTTGTGCTGTCTGGATGATTACAGGATTGGCGGAATCGAGATGATCGGTAAAGATGCTATTCCTGGGTTATCATATGTGAAAGAGAAGAGAGTGAGGAACAATGTCAAGAAGCTGGAGCTTCCTGTCCTGCCCAGTGATCACTTCGGTTTGCTTCTAACCATCTTGCCAAAGTGAGATCAACAAAACCAAAGCTTGAAATTTCGGTTTTTTCCCGGTTTGCTCCCTATGTTTGGCATATACTCTGATTAGTATGGAAATATTTTGCTGTTAACCAACTCAAAAGCCGATATGGCATCTGGGTTTGGTTCTGTTTCTGTAAACTCAGTGGTTCCTGGTCCGATGAGAATGGTAACCCGGTTGTCGGATCAGTATAACGAGACCTGTCTGAAGGTAATCTGCAATGCAAACTGATAAATCCTGTCCAGATAGCAGGAAAGGATGAACAGCAAAATAAAAAGATTCATTTTTTAATAGACCCACTAACCAAATCCAAAGAGAAGTTGTCAGAAAATGGTGCAGATACCTTCTTGGCCTGAACAAGATCTGAAATGGCAGAATTGACCGATAAAGACCCAATAAGTGGATGAAAGCATTACAGTATTTACCCAATCAAACTGATATATTGCATCTCTGTTTCGGTATTGGTTTCAGAATACAACTCTTACCAGCTTCTGGTCCTATAACCAGTCTTGTTATATATCAAAATGTAAAAAGCTCCTTTTTTTGGGAATGAAGTTCATAAAATATATAAAGCTCTTAACAAATGAAAATGAAAAACAGTTGGACTGTCCTTTTTGAGAAAAGAAAATGGTAAAGCACACTGTAAAGACCTTCAGCACGCTATGGGTACGAAGCTAGCCGGGCAAATTCTTTTGAGTTACACCAAATGCAAGATGAAATCTAGGGTCTTCTGCTTGGTGATATTCACACGGTATAGCCGGTATAGACATGAACTTTATTTGAGATCAATCGGTTCAGAAATTTCTGGTTTTATATGGTTGTATCCATCGGATAGCACCCGAGCACACGGATGAATCTTACAAGCTCCTGCAAGAGTCAAAAGGCAGAATCTTTTAGACGATTCAGGAGACAAAAACCAGTTGAATGCAGAGAGGGTAAGCTGATGAATTGTTTCTCGGGTTTCAATGGACTAACCTGTAAATGGCCGAGAGCTTGTTGGGCACGGGATTCAGCCATTGAAGCTTCGAAATCAATGTAGAACAGGTAATCAAAGTACCTGTCACCAGAACTTAGTTATATTCAGCTCACAAGATTAGTATAAAAGGCAAACTAGTCTATTTGCTTCCAAGCTCGAGGGAAACTTACTTAGCGCTTCCATTGTTAGAGCTATCAACTACTCTTAACGGGCGCCGTCTTTGTGGACGGCTCTCTATCTGTAATGAAATCCCAAAAAGCCAAACGAAGAATTAACATTGATTCTGAAAGTGAGTCAAGAGAATGAAACTTGGAGAGATACTAGAACAATTCCATCGTAACACCGAAACATTCATAAAAAAATCTGAAATCGGTGTCCAAACCATGTAACCATTTCCTTTTATAACGCAGATATTGATGATATATCACAATGGATTAGTTTTTCGTCATCCTCAGCATCAGAGATTACCATTAAGATCAGCATTTAGATGGTTAATCAACAATTAGCTTTGTCAATTAGGAAAGTTGGAAGTTTTTCTTGGAACTTACCTTGGATAAGTTAATGTCTCTTAAAGCAAACACAGCCAAGGCCTTGAAAAGCTCGCCAGGACCTTCTTCTAAAGAGAATACGATACTCGTCTGAAAGAAACGGGCAACGACTTAGCTTGGTAAGAATTTTAAGCCTGAAAAAGTATGAAAGATTTCCGCATATTATTATTCTCTGTTACCTTAAAGGGCCGATCCGTTCCTGGGATTATAGGTTCTCTCGCGAGTATCAGGAAACGGGTCACGTTGTTAGCATCATCCTGAACAAAGAAAGATAGAAAAATCAACGTAAAGATTCTGAGTTCCGATAAGTTTTGTCGAACAAACTTTACCAAGAATAGTATATCAAATTCAAACAATTAAGTTCTAGTCATTAGTTTGGATCCTTTCACCATGCATAAACCATGGATGAAGAATTACACACCTGCATGTTCTCAGAAAGGATACTGAGACCATATATTTGTGCAGCTCTTACGCTAGCAATCGCGCCTGTGTCTCTCTCGCCACTTGAAGATACCGTCTGAAAAAGAAAACCCGTTTTAACAAAAAATCTAAAACTAGAATTTCGCGCAGACAAAGATAAGGACTCCGTATCTTGAGTAAACACACCTGAGCAGCAGTGGCAGTGTCTAGTGCAGTAATTCTGTGTACGCCTAAATTGCTAAGTGCATTCTCGCATTGAGAAAGCGCCTGAGAAGGTACACAAGATTCAGTCAGCCATTAAAAGAACTTTCAGATTACGGAAACACAGTGTCTGTGCATGGGAAATGTTTCTTTTAAAGCATCAGAATGGGAAAAAAACCAACTAGGCATGAAGAACCTGAGGGTGGCTTAGAACACATTTAAGCTCCTCCTTCTTCACACCGGGCAAAGCCAAGAGGCAATGGTTAACGGGCAACTGGACTTCCTGGACAATGTGCAGTCTATGACGGAGAAGCAAATCGTAATTACGATGGATACTACCACCGACTGAATTCTCAATTGGAAGCACCGCTTTATCCACCAACCATAGTTCAACTGCCTGTAGGAATCACATTGAAAATGAAATAAAACTTCTCATGAATCGAGCTCAAAAAGGGGATGATGAATAATGGAGGTGACATAAAACCCGAAACCTGGAATGCAGTTTCAAACTGTTCACATGGCACAGTTTCACAATTTGGATAGGCCTTTAGTGCTGCTGTCTCACTATACACGCCCGGTATTCCCTGAAAATGTATGCAATCCAAACAAATGAAAGAAAAGGAAAGAAGAAATATGCAAAGAACTGAAAAAGAAGGTAAATAGTTTACTTGATAAGCAATTCGGACTTTTGATGCATCCTCAGAAGAAAACTGAAGACTAGCCGCTGTTAAGGGCTCTGAAATCAGTTTATATGTTAGGGTTTGTAATGAGTGAGATAGAAATGGAGATTGATGGTATTGAGGATACGTTTTCATACTTGAAATAATACTTAACACTTAGACTGATTCGACACTCGGGTATTTGAAATGAAACGACGATACAGCATGACAATAAAGATCGAATCTAAAACATTCCTTCCAAACTGTTATGGAAAATAGAAGCGTCAGAGATTTGGGCATTACGACAAAAGAGATTGACATTTGCGAGAAAGCGCATAACCAATCATCAAACACAACTGTCTTGATATCATACCGCTGATGACAAATGCACAGGATTTAACACAGATTCTGCTTGAAATGCTGAGAATTCTTTTGAAGCTAAATAATAACACGATCGTCATCCCTTGTAATGGTCATGTACGCATTAAACAATCGATGTCATCATGACATGACATATGAAATGGCATAGATAAGCAAAATTATAGTTATATGAACCATACAATCAGAAGATATGAACAGTAGCGGAGAATTCAAGGATAAAAACATAAAGATCACAAAAATCTATCAAGGTGATAATGATTCGTGCAAACAAAGAACTAAATACATGCTCTTGGAGTGGACGATCGCATCACCAACACAAAAGCATCAGCATTTTCGCGCGAATCCCATCAAACAGCGAAATGCCAAATTGAAAACACAATCAAACGTAACAGCAGATACAGAACGAGTCGACTCACTGGGAAGCATGCTCAAGTCCTTGTGAAAGGTCAAAGACTCGGTTTTCTGAATCGGAACGATTCCACCTGCAGAGGACTTCCCGAGTTCATGGCCGTGCGGCTTGTCGTCTTCAACAGCAGTGACGGCTCTCTGGTCAGAGCATTCACACCTGAGGTCGAAGCGGCAACGTTTCGGGCTGAAATGAGAATGACCCATTTGAGAATGAGGTGTTTGGGGACAAACCCAGATGCTAAAGCATTGCAGAGCCATTGAAAGTCGCGAGATTTTTCTGGTTTTTGGTCAGAGAAATCGACAATGTAACAAAGAAATTTGGCGAATTAGGTCAACAGAAGTCTTACGGGAAATGGGTTGGTGAGAAATTTTCAGTGTCTTAGCGATAATGTCAAGGAGTAACACTGAATTTTGGAGGAAGAAGAGAGGAGGAAGCAAGAGTTTCACCTACACACACGCATATATTTATATACACACACACGCGCGCGTACGTGTAGTATGTTTCTCTGACAGCGTGTGAGGGTCTGTTGATTTAATAAGATTCCATTATTGAATTGTCCAAAAGGGAAAACCAGTAGAAACATGGATATTGATGAATTAATAAAAATGTTACCAGATTCTTTTGGAGATTAATACTTATCTAAGATATTTTGGTACTAGTATTTAATTGTAACGAATTTTTTTAGAATATATATTTCATCATTTTTATTTTCCATTTAAATATTGCCTTCTTTTTACTCAAAACTAATTGTATCCCTTATATGTGCAAATAAACATACACAAATAATCAATAACAATTTAATATTAAAAGAGGTAAAAAAAATATTTAATAAAGAGAATAAAAGTAATTTAAATATAATAAACATTAAAAATTTAACTTGAAAGATTACTTTATAACGACTAATATTCTCAATTAAATTAAATTTATAATAATTAGAATAATAGATTAAATGATAATTTTGAAGAGTAAAAATACATAACTCATCATTTATAATTTTATCAAATAAAAAATAATAAATTTGTAGCCTTGTGATTTTTAGTTACGTTGAATAGTTAATAACTTAATGTTTCTTAGATAAAATTTGAGGGTGAGAACAGCAATTCAAGTTCAGTCGAAAAAAAATAATATGTAATTAAAATTTCAAATATATATATATATTATCAATTTAAATGAATTATTTTCGCTTTTTTGAATGAATTATATTCACATCATGCTAATATTTTCCCCCTCGTTAAAATGATGTAAAAAAAGTTTCAACCCTTAAAAATTCTGCAAAAACCATCGTATCATATTTAATTTCACATATAATATCATGTGGAAAATACGAAATAGTTAATTAAAATAACAGCTTATGTAGATAAATCATTAACGAAAGATATTTTTGCCTCTTATAGTAAATAAAAATATCAGGGAAAACTTCAACAAATTATTTGGAACAGCATAAAAATATAATTTTTCTCAATACAAAAATATCAAGGACAACAACAACAAATTATTTGGAACAGCCTAAAAAAATATTAATTTTAGCAAATAATATACATATATATATGACAACATGGCCAATTAATTTTCTCACAATACATATACTATGAAAATATTAAAAAAAATCTTAGGATTTTATAGCAGAATTATTTGATAGAGATTTTTGTCTACTGATGAATTTAGTTAAATTATTGTATTTTAAAACTTAACCAAAACCGAATTGAATGGAAAAAAAAATCGTTTGGCCGATTAAAGTTAGGGATTAAAGCGCTGATGATATTTTATAATTGCGTCTTATGTTTTTGTGGCGATATTATGTATGTATATATGTATATATAAGACTTTGACGTATATTAATTATTTTTTTAGATTATAATGACACGATTCAATGATTCTTCTGCTTTCTAGCGAGACTTTAACGGCGGAATCTTCCTTAGCTTTTAATGGGACTTCTCACTCTTTGACAATATTTGTCCGAATAATTTATTGTTCTTTTATTTTTTTATTATTTTATATTCGGGTTATTCTTCTTCAAAGGTCTCTAACATGTTCATATTCACTCACTAGTAAAATAATAAAAGATTAATTTTAATAATAATTGAATTTTGTAAATAATATTATTGCTAATTAACTCCCCCAAATTATCAAGAAAAAAATAAATGAACTTGATATTTTCTACCGAACTCATATATTTGCATCAATTATGAATCATGAGCTGTAAATCAAAATTAAACCCTGTTAACATAATCAATTTAATTAGTTGCAAACCGAAGTACATCGTCCTTTCTTTTCGTTATAGTTTACTTCCTTGATTATAATAAAACGTTAAACATCCGAGGTGTATAAACGTTTTAATTTATAAACAAATAGATTAATTAAAACCACAAATTTCCCAACCAAATCAAAATCAAGAACTCAAAAACGTAAAACAAACCACCGAAAAGAAAAATCATCACATAAAACCAATATCTATATGGAAAGCTCAATAACTATATATTGGATCCATATAACGAAGCCTTTGTTTCTTTTCGTCACAGAAGAAAGAGTTGTGCTTCGACGGCCACACCCTCCGATTGGGTCCGAGGGTTCTTAGCCTTCGCATTCTTCTTCTGCTCCTTGTTGTTTCTGACATTTTTTCCACTGACCTCTCGTGAATGATGACTCTCCTCGGACCGCCTCTGCACGTGACTCTCTCTTCCCTGGCACGTGACCTTGCCCGAACCGAAACATCTACACAAGCTACTACTCATTTTTATCTCGCGTGTTTGTTTGTAGTTTTTTTTTTTTTGGTAAATGTGTGTTATTGTTCTCTGTGTTGTGTGTTTGCGGTTATGGATTCTTTTCTTGAGAGTTTGGTCGCAATTTATAGAGGGTGCAGTGGGTGTGGGTGTTTGGTTGCCGAGAAAGTGAAGGAAAGAGAGCAGTGTAGTTTCCGGGAAAGTATCAAGAAAAGCTTTTTAATTTGAGATTATGTTTCCACCATCTCTTTTTTTTTTTTTTTTTTTTTTTTTTTTTTTTTTTTTTTTTTTTTTTTTTTTTTTTTTTTTTTTTTTTTTTTTTTTTTTTTTTTTGCCTTTTGTGCTATTTCCTATGGGGTTCTCTCGCATATACGGTGGAATATGATGTCTCGGAACGAATTTGTGGTCTTGGAATATTGTATTTAAACGTTTAAGTAATTAAAAATGTATTAGGTTTACCTAAGTATATTATCAAATATTTATTATGCATGCATTTTTTTTTTTTGACAAAATGTTGTATTTTCATTCCTATATATGCATTTTTTTTTTAAAAGATAATCCGTTATTTTTATATATATTGTTTGTTTCTACAGAATCAAATATGGATTTGGGAGTCAAAAACAGCAACTATTGCACATTTGAATCAACTGTACAGATAAAATTTCTTTCAATAAAGTGATATCACTCTCGCAAGTGGTATCCATCGTATTTGAGCATATCGTTTTTTTTTTTGTCGGCTTCAATATATAGCCACTTTTAATAATTAAATATCTAGTTTTAGAAAAATAACAAAAATAACTTTCTAGCATTTTTGTTTATATATAGTTTTCAAATTTATTATTTACTTCATGATATAAGACCTCTCCAATCCGAAATAGAAACAAACTATCGCTACTAATAGCGTACCCCTCTTCAAAAAAAAAATCAACTTTTTCAGCTACTAACATACATACATACATATATATATATATATATTCATAGATTCGTATGCGGTTTTAAATTCAATATGGGATTCCAGTGGTTATGATCAATGACCTTGAGAAGTTGAAATAATTCAAATAACCACCTTTTGGAAATGTGAGACCTCCCTTTGCTTGCATGCATGGCACTCACTAACTGGATTTGGGTCAGCTTTATACACACACACACACACATATATATATATATATATATATACACATATGTGTGTGTGTGTTTAAAGTTGATTTGATTAAATATTGTAGCCTCTTTTTAAATATGACATATACAGTTATAATGATCTAACTGTTCCGATTAATTTAGATTGTTGATTGTGAATTGGAATGCCGTTTTATGCATCGAATTTATTTGAATTCTCAGTGATTGACAAGCAGAAATGACTTGTCGAATCTGTCTAATTTATCAATTAGGACCAAACAGCGAGGAAACAGAATTAGGGACCAAATCTTAAAATAATGAAAATTTGGCAGTTAGTTTGGTAATTATAATCATAATTGTCGCCGGCCAAAGATTCAAAGACGGGTGGCATGAGACCGAAGATTCGGACCGCGGGCTGTGATTAAAGAAAGGCACCTTAAACTAAATGTTGCATCACATGCTAAAAACAAGGCCAGGTCCCACGAAGGACTTTAAAATCTATTAATTATAGCTCAGGTAGACTATATCTTATTATATATATAGGGTGTAGCACGTGAAGACCAAAATATTTATAATATATGTAGTTTTTAATTAATTACCTAATATTTTATGTAAATTATATATTTTAATTGATAGTGTTCTTATAATTACTAATTTATAAAATAATATATTATTATTTTTAATTGTCATCAATGTACTCTAATTTAACCAATATATTTTATATCTTCATTAGATTTTTATTAACTATTATTGTAAGTATAATAATTTTTGAAAATAAATTATAGTTTTTTATTTATTGAATTAATACAATTTTGCACTTTCTATAAATGTTTGATTTACTTCATTCTTATTTATTCAGCATAAAATCAAAAATATTTTATACATAGGAGTATTTGACGATGAAAATATATAATAAATTAAATATAAATTATTTTTGCACCCCGTCCGCCTTGCACCTCACTGCGTCTTGCGTTTTCTACAAGTAAGACCGTGGGTTTGGATTCGGGTTTTATGAACGACGACAGATTATGTATGAATAAAATTAAATATTTATAATAATAATAATAATACTTGAGTATATTTACACATAAAATTATCAAAATATCCCTCAAATCGAAACACAAATCAACATTTTTGTTGCAAGATTTTGAGGGGTTCAGTACTCGAGTCCAGAGACGTATACCTCGATCGTGGATACTTAGGCTTCACGAAAACGAAAACGAGATAATAATTTACTAAAACCCGTGAAGACGAGATCGAAGCCGAATACCTTCAAAAATTCAAGTGTGCGATCCATGAGGGTCCGCCCTTGTGATATGTAGTGATGCGAATCCTACCACGTGCAGGATCCAAATCCATCCTCCTGATGCAGTAACTGCACCCACCAGTCTCCAAAACGATGGTGTTTTCATGATGAACAGTTTCAGACCAGAACATGAACCGTGTGTGGTCTCTGTGCAACACTCAGCAGCACTCACTCTGTTTCCGGTACAGCATCAACGAGCCCGGATTCCAGCGCCTGCACTGCATATGACAAAGACAGTGTAAATAATCAATCTTGATTTCGGCAGTATGCATCCAAGTGCATTGTAGTAATATCATCATCTATGGCGACAAGAAAGGATCGATCGCCGACTCAACGTGATTTCTGACCCGAGAACCCTCTTAGCTCATCGGAAGGTACAGATCCAATCTATCTAACATGTTAGGTTACCTCAGACACGGACAAGAAACGATCTCGTCCTGTCTACTGTTGCACTTTCTCTAGAGTCTGCCCAGTGAAAGCTGCATACATGCTGTCTATTTTCTGCAACAAAGAGGATCAGAGCTCAGTTGCCTGCTGAGTAAAGGCAAGACAAAATGGATAGAAAGAGTACCTGCATGCTGAGATTCAATAGCTTCATTCCCTTGTCGCCTCACGTCTTCCACATGGCCCTAAAATACGATGCATAATCAGAGTACGTAATCATACACACAGAGAAAAGAAATCAACACTAGAAAGATAGATCTAAAAATTTGGCTTTTGTGAAAAAAGAAATCAAATCAATGTGAACAAATCAAATCCACACCCCGCATCCGGTTTGAGGTTGACGAGTCATGATACGAGTGTTTGGCATAGCGTAACACATTCCCTTCTTGCCACCAGCCAGAAGAAGTGCTCCTTGGCTTGCAGCTACTCCAAAAGCCACAGTTCCAACTTTAGGCTTTATCTGAGAGAGAGTCCATAAACAAGTAAATCAACAAAAAAAGAAGAAGCTAAAGCATACCGACTTAGTGAACGAAATGAGCAGCCGTGTTACATTATATGCTTATGATGTCAAATCTAAGATGTTACATCGAAAGAAACCAAACATAAGTGTGTTGCAGAATCAGCTTACCCAAGACATACAGTCATAGATTGCTAAGACCGAGTAGGTGCTACCACCGGGGCAATTCAAGTACATCAACTAAAGGCTAGGATTACGAGCTGTGGAGATGACTCGCTGAGAAACGTGTGCGTTAACCGGCTGCCCTACAAAGATTATACGGTTGCGATACAACACAGAAGAGAGGTCCAAAGGTCCTCCAGGAGTCATCACAAATGGCATAACCGGTGGATTCTTGGATTCTCCCTCTTCATATCTAAGCATTGTTGAACAGAAATGGTTTGTAAAATCTAAGAAGAAATGCAAGATGGTATGAAGGCTGATACGTTTAATCCAGCGTTGTTTTAAGCAATGCAACTTGTACCAATGTTAACAAAGTTAATACGGAAGTTTATCGAGCTCAATGAACAATGGAGAAGAAAGAATCAAATACCGGTAAAACTGAAACCAATCAACATGAATACTAACCATACGTAAAATGTTCGAGAAATAAGCAGAGAGCTATCAGAAATGAGATGGTGAATGTAAACTACAAGAAAGGACAAGGGATTCAGAAAGGGAGACCTTTGATCAATACCAATAGAATCACTGTGATTGATCTTCAATGGGAATCCGGGAACTTTACTTGAGAGTCCTGGAGGAATCAAACACGAGCCGTTCTAAAATGAGACGAAAACAACGATTGAGCAGAGAAAAGCATGTTCTTTGAAGAATCCCAGAGCATAAAAGTCTAAGCTCAAACCAAATTAGTCAAAGTAATCGGAAATTCCGCAGAAACCCTATTTCCGTTAACAAGCGAGGTTCTTGTTGTCGGATTCAGACATCTGAAAACTACTATCAGCAACTCGATTCAGCATAAGGAAAACGCAAATCCAAGCACATCAACTACAGGCTAAAAGTACCTCTGCTTTTAGAGAATCCTCATACAGACTCGGAAAAGCGGAAACCAGAAATCTTGAATGATTTCTACGCAAAGACAAACAGAAAGAAGCGAACATTCGAGTTACCCAACACAAAAAAAAAACGGAACCAAAGCATGAGTGCGAAAGATATGATGGTTTAGGGTTTATAAATCCAGAGGAAAGAGAGATACCGAGAGAGGACGAAATGGTCGAACCCGCCATTAACGCGCAAGTGTTGAGACCAAAAAGGGTGGGAGGCCGTAGATAAAAGAAGAAAGACGACGACGCGTAAGGGCGTGTTTGGATACAAACCCAAGGAGAAGAGACTCTGTTTCGCTCAGCAGGTTCGGTTGTTGTTCAACTTCTTTTTTTTGTGAAGGGAAAAAATAGAATCCGACCTGCCGGAATCGAACCAGCGACCTAAGGATTTTTCTGCGAACGCTACAGTCCTCCGCTCTACCAACTGAGCTAAGGTCGGTTTCTTTTCATATTTGAAATTAAAAACAAGACCTAATTTATTTGATTTTTTTTAAAAAAACATTTTTTCATTACGAAGAATTATTTTAAGTAAAATAATCCAAAACATAACAATTGTTTTTGAAATGCCTTGAAATTAAAACTAAAATGTATATTTTTATAATAGAAGACCATTTACCCAAAAAATAAAAACAATTGGACGACAAAATATTGGCTTAATTTTATCGAAAGAGCAAATAAAATGAATACTGATTTTTTATTGATATGATATTGGATCCGTACATGAGTCGAACCCGAATCTAATATATAGTCCTGATATCATGAGAGAACTTCGAAGCAGAAGGTGGTTTTACAACATATTCTTTGTGTTTGGCATCCAAAAAACCACTAACGGTTTTGGAACCTGTTTCCTCACAAAACCGCCTTCTTCTTCTTCTTCTTGTCTGTTCTTCACTCCATGTTCTTCGCAATCAACTTTGCTAGAACCAAACCAGCAACCTAAGATGCAACTCATCCGTCTCCAACCTTTGTTTATGTATTTTATCTCTTTTTTATAACAAAAAATCCCTTTTCTTTTGTTTTTTTTCTTCTGTGAATTTGCGTTGAGGAGTTAAAACGAATGTGTAGATGTATTTATAATCATCCATGGAACCTTCTGGTGGTTTCTCGAAAACTTCCGAAAGATAAAAAATAGTAAATTTCATTTTTTTTCTGAAACCTAATAAGTATTATATATAAATATGGTAAAAACAGACCAAATAAAAAATGTTTGTAATGAATTTGAATCCACAAGGAGATTATGTTGCAACCTTCAATAGTAAGACGTGGCGGAGAGACAACGCGTCTTTGATTTATTAGCTTTATTAGCAATATTTATTAGCAATTGTTCTCTCCTAATACTCTTAAGGGTTTTGGTAAAGTGTGTTAAAGGATGACATTTGTAAAGTATACCAAAAAGATACTGTATTTGTATAATATATATTTTTTTAAGTTAATGTAAAAAAAATATCTTTGTACATTTTCTACATTTGCAAAATATATTTTTTCTTCCAAAAGATTCTAGAATGTAATTCATTACTGCTCTAAATCACAATATTACAAATTAAAATTTTGTCTGAATATTAACTAAAAGTATCGTAAGGCCTTTATGTAAATTAATTGTTCCACATTATAATTTATATATGCTTATAAATGTATGTCGTATTTTTATTGTTTAATTATACACATATGGTGTCCCATAGAATTTCTAATATCCCAACGACAATTATTTTGAGAGTTTGAATTCTGTAAACCCTTTGAATTATATATTTCATAGTTAGAAAATATGTTTCTATATTTTTTCATATAATTGACAGTAGTATAATAAATTAATAACGATGACAAGATTAGTGAGGGAATAATAAAGCTCCTGCAAATTTAAATTTGTATGCTTTAAATCTTTATAAAGAATCTGTCTATAATAACTTACGAGAGATTAAACTGAAAAAGGATTTAAAAATAAAAATAAAAAACTCAAATTACTTGGCTTCATTGCAGGATTTATTTCAACATAATATATAGTTTAAAAAAGAAACGATTGACTAAAAGAAGTGGAAGTTACCATAAAATTAAAGCAAATAAGAAAATAATTTATCGAAAAATTTTAAATAAATAACACTAGAAATAATTAATAATTTTTTTTAAAAAAAAAAAGTGGCGAAAACTTTAACACCAATTTGTAGCAGGCGATTGATTTCTCCTTGAATATTCAAGTATATGGAGTGGAGATTACAATTGATTTGGCCTATCACATTATCTCTTATGTGACATTTTGTTTAATTTTTATTGATTTATAATTTATAAATAAAATAAAATTGTAATAAAATTATGGCCAAAAGTATTTATGACCCACTAATAAAAAACTGTAACCATTAATCATTAATCATCATAATAATCCATATTATAATAAAAGAAATATTTAGTAAAATCTAATATAAAAAAAACGGAATGATAAGATTGTTCATAATTCCAATAATAAAAACCAAGAGTAATGGACAAGAGTATTCATAATATGAAAATAGAATGCAATTATTTTATTATTTTATTATAAAGTTCATCATTTTATATAAAATATACGAAATACTTGAACTTATATCAAACTTTCTTGAAAGATCGTGATTTTTTTAGATTATTGTCCCTATTTCAAAATATCATTTCTATCATTTTAAACAAATAATTAGGTGAGATTCGCACACATCGAGTCATTCTTTTTTAATTGATTAATTTAATTTAATATTTATTATTATAAACATATATAAAATAAATTTATATAAATTCATTATTGGATATATAAAACATATATCTAATAAATTATTTTAAAAACATAATTATATCATGTGTATAAAGAAATAAAAAAATTTAAAAATATGAGTGTCTTTTATGTCAATGATTTGTTGGATTTCTTCGTTATCAATCTATATTTTTTTAATATACAACAAATTTAGTTATTAGATAAAAACAGTTGATATTATTAAATATTATAGTTATCATTTGTTATATATATATATATATATATATATATATATAATTTTTTTGTGTAGAATGATAGAACAGCTAATTAATTTAAAATATTAGAAAAATTAATATAATTATGTTATCATCTAATTTTGGTAGCTCAACCGATAAAACGGTGACGCAAAGCGTATGTTCCGTGACAAGTTCGAACTTTAAGTTAGGGAGTGATGCGTAATTCCAATCAAATGACTTGCTCTTGGCCCCGAAATTATTCTGGTCTTCGGTCCAGGATACCCGTTTACTTAGAAAAATAATAATGCTATCATTTATATGATATATATATATATCAAATTTAATTTCCAAGGATATGTTTTCTAATATTTTTTCCTTTGTTGCATATATAATTTAATTTAATCTTTGTACATGACTGGATGGACCAATAAAAAGAATTTTGATTATTTTAAATTATCTAATAATTATATTTTTGGTAGATAGCAAAATGATATCGAGAACCCCAAAAACAAATTAATACCATCAAACTTATATAACAAATGGACAATAATACACATATTCTTAATATAAAATAAATAATAATAAATTTACAATACTCTAATTTACCCATATATTTTTTATATTACATAAAAAATTTATATTATTTATTCAATATTAATATGATCAAATTTTATAGAACAAACCTAATTAATATATAAAAATAGAATAACCCGCGCATCGCACGGTCTTTATCTAGTCTTTATAAAGAATCTGTCTATAATAACGTGACAAGATATTACGAGAGATTAAACTGAAAAAGGATTTAAAAATAAAAACAAAAAACTCACTAAAAGTTTTTATTTTCATATAAAAAGTTCTCAATTTGTGTGTAATTCGGATCAAACATTTAGTTCACAATCGAATATAAATGGCTATTATAAATACATTTATATTTTATATAAATTTTAATATGCAGGCTGCAGCGACATTTTCTTGCTAAATTATACTAATCGTTTCATTAATAAAATTATACTAATTATTATCTTTATGTATGACAGCTAAACCAAAGGCCCAATTGTTTGGGCTTCAACATAAATCCTACTTGAAGAAAAATCAATATCTCAAAAAAAAGCGAATATAACGTTGATAATTAATGGATAAATGGAATATATTTTTTTAACAAATATAAAGTGATATCAATATATTCAAGCATTTTTATATCATATATAATTTGAATAAAAATATTGATTTTGCTAGTAACCGCAATTAGTAGAAATCTATGAAAAACAATTGTATTTTCGGATATTCAATGTGGATTTTGAGTCGAATATATAAAAATCGAATATTTTACCTATCAACGATTGCTAAAATTTGATCTCTAGATTCATATGTCATATAGAATTAAATTTCAGAGTTTGATTAATTTTTAGGATCAAAATTTTGAATTGCAAAACCCACAAAAATGGAATTCAAAACTGTATATCGTAAAACCTAGATATCCGATCCATAATTCGAATATTAATTAGTGGTAAGTAATGATAACGAAAATATAACCATGATGATAATTATATTGAATAATCATGTGTATAATAAAATAATAGAAAAAGAGCATAATTGGTCCGTTAGGGGAAGTCGGAGTTTTGGCGCAGACAGTTTCTGCTGTCGCACTTTGCATTTGGTCACGACAAAAGCCCTCTCTTTTGTACCATCCATATTCCAAATATCAAACAAAATAATTAAATGATCAAAGACAATAAAATAAAAACAAAATAGAAGATTCATACATAGCTTGCTTGTCGTGTTCGAGCAAAAAAAAAAGTCGTATTTTAATTAGATTAAATCTAAAATTAACTAAATATATATTTTAAAATAAAATTAATTAAACACGAAATTAATCGAGGTAAATTTAATTTGATATAAAAACGGAATGAAACACTCTTAAAAACTAGATATTTTTAATTCTAATCAATTTAAAGAATTGGATTTAAAATAAACGGATATATTATTTCAAAATACAAAATTTTAATTAAAAAACAATGGTAATGAAATGAAAACAGATAGTGGAATGTGAAATAAAAGTGAAACTCAAAATATTCACACCCCTAAAGCAGTTAACAAATTAGTAAGTTACATGAAAATCAATATATCAAAGATTGAATCTTTTTCTTCAAGCATCCGAATTAGACATATGAATGCTGCTTTTTTTTGCATAACTGATATAATTACTATAAGTTAATCATGCTTAATTATGCAATTTTACTGCATCATCGTTGAATAGTATGTATGATGACCCATATTGATCCAACGTACATCACAGGTTAAATTCACATTAAAATCAGGCCATTAATCACATTTATTTCACATTATTAAATGATTTACGTTGTTAGTAAGGATCCGAGGGATTAGAACAAATTAATTTTTCTAAAAAAAAACTGAAAGGTTCAAATCTTAAAACGCAAAAATAAATTCGAACTGATGAGGAAAAAGACAAAAAGTCCAAAGAATAAACAAAGAAAAAAGAGAAAATTAAAGGAGAAAAAAAAAAAAGACGACTGACAAAAGCCAAGAAAAATATCCTTATTACGACTCTCTTCCCCAAATAAAGAGACCAGAAACCCTAATTTTTTAATTTCCCATTTTCTTCGTCTTCTGTGATATCCCATTTCCAAAAACATTCCATCTCCGCTTCAAACGAAGAAGAAGAAGAAGACGTGTTTGGATTCTTTCGATTCCTCGGTGGTCACTGTAACCGTCTCCGGGAAAAATGGCGAGGCCGTCGTCGGCTTCGGCGGCGGCGAAGCTTCCGGCAATCAAGCCGGAGGATTACGCTCACAGTCCCGTCCACTACGCTGTCGTTCTGGGAGATCACGCCTCTCTCACCCGCCTGGTCTCTTCCTTGCCCAAACTCGCTGATCCGGAGCAGATCCGAACCGAGTCCGACTCACTGAGCCAGGAGCGAGTGGCGGAGCGGATCTCTTCCGTGCTCGACCGCCGCGACGTTACCTTCCGGGAGACGCCGCTCCACCTCGCCGTGAGGCTCAACGATGTATACGCCGCGAGGACCATCGCCTCCGCTGGGGCCGACATTTCGCTCCAGAACGCCGCCGGGTGGAATCCCCTGCAGGAGGCGCTGTGTCGCCGGAACTCGGAGGTGACTCAGGTAAAAAAAAGGCATCACCATCGCTTGGCGTGGTGCAAAAAAAAAAAACGCCGCGACGTTACCTTCCGGGAGACGCCGCTCCACCTCGCCGTGAGGCTCAACGATGTATACGCCGCGAGGACCATCGCCTCCGCTGGGGCCGACATTTCGCTCCAGAACGCCGCCGGGTGGAATCCCCTGCAGGAGGCGCTGTGTCGCCGGAACTCGGAGGTGACTCAGGTACTTCTCCGGCATCACCATCGCTTGGCGTGGTGCAAATGGCGGCGTAGGCTGCCGCGATTGATCGCCGTGCTCCACCGGATGAGGGATTTCTACATGGAGATGTCCTTCCACTTCGAGAGTTCAGTGATTCCTTTCGTTGGGAAAATCGCTCCATCGGACACCTACAAGATCTGGAAACGCGACGGAAACCTACGCGCCGACACTTCCTTGGCCGGATTCGACGGCTTGAAAATCCAACGAGCGGATCAGAGCTTCCTCTTCCTCGGCGACGGCGACGAATCCCTAGACATATCTCCTGGTTCATTGCTCGTACTGAACCGAGACGACCGCAAAATCTTCGACGCCTTCGAGAGCGCCGGAGCTCCGATCAGCGACCCCGATATCGCCGGATTCTGCTCTCAGTCAAGCGTTTACCGTCCAGGAATGGACGTCACCAAAGCAGAGCTCGTAGGCCGTACGAATTGGCGACGGCAAGAGAAAACAGAATCAGTCGGAGAATGGAAAGCGAAGGTCTATGAAGTCCAGAACGTGACGTTCAGTTTCCGGTCCCGGAAAGTCATCGCCGGCGAGAACGACGTCGCCGGGAGCGAGCAGGTTCTTCCTCTAGAGCTCGACGAGGATGACGACGGTTTCTTAGTTGCTGAGAACCCAAGCTTCTTAGCGCCGGTACCACCACCGTCCACGCAGCCAGCGCGGCCGCAGCGACGGCACAGCAGTTTCGTGAGGGAGGACAGAGATTGGATCTCCGTCGGAAGGCAGAGCGTCGACGTTTACCCCTCGGCCGCACAATTCCAGCCGCCGAGAAGGTCCATTAGCATCGCCGCACCCTCGACGGTTCCGGTGGCTCCGCCGCCGCAGACGAAGGAGAAGGAGTTCGTGAAGAGCCTTCGTCCATCCGTCTGGTTAACGGACCACTTCCCGTTGAAGACTGAAGACCTGCTTCCATTGCTCGATATCTTAGCCAGCAAGGTGAAAGCAGTCCGGAGAATGCGGGAGCTTCTCACAACCAAGTTCCCGCCGGGAACTTTTCCGGTCAAGGTAAACTCCAAAAGGGCCATTTCGTACTTTCTAATCATATTTTGTTTATATATTAATTATTATTATTCGCTTTTGTTTCTGTTACTCTTTTTGGTTCGTCTGATGCACCAAGCAATCCAGCTGACCGTTTTGCTTCAGCACCAGGCTACATTCCGCCACGTGGCGGTGTTTTATTGGTTTATTCTCACCTTAATCCGGGTTAAGCATATAACATTAGTATCAGTGAGACAGGATAGGATAAAAGTACACCTCCATGATTGTGCCACGTCATCTAGGCTTAGATTTCACGCTGACGTGGGAAGATCATGGAAGACCTTGCTTTGTCATCGACCCATAATTGATTCCCTTTTTTTTGTGTTCCGTTCGATTTGATTTGATCACTAATTTTGGGAAATTGTGTTTTTGTTTAAGTCAAAGTAGTATCATCAAGTTACTGATTTGATTTTTTTCTCTTTTTCGCTTTTTCTTTTTGTCTAAAATAAAAAATCTATGGCGGGACCCAGTTGTCGATCCCGGTGGTCCCCACAGTCAAAGTAGTCATCACATTCACCAAGTTCGTGGATCTCCCGCCACTGGAACAGTTCTACACACCACTCTCGAGCCCGAGTCTCCTCCTCGTCGCCGGAGACGAGCATTCCGGCGAAGAAGACAGCCGGATCTCGACGTCGAGACCGTCGTTCTCAGCATCGTCATGGCTGAGACGGAGCAGCAGCCAATCGGTGTGGAAGACGACATCGACGAGCAGCAAGATCTCGAAGAGACCAGAGGAAGAGTCGGATCCATTTGTTATACCGAGTGGGTATAAGTGGACGAGCATCGCCGATAAATCAGGTAATAATAAGATGAAGAGATCTAAATCCACCAGGAGATCTAAGTAAAAAAAACGTTTGTAGATTTTTGAAAATGGGGATTAGTGGATATAGAGTTTTAATTGATGACATGGCATGTGGTTTTTTTTTAAAGAGTTCACAAATTAGTATTTGAAATTTGACACATCACCATCTTATCAATGGAGAAACCCCACACATGGATCTTTGATTCTAAAGGATTACAAACTAATTTAGACCCATATATATATATATATATGTTAGATTCTTAATTGCAAATTATTGGGGTTATGATTACTATTGCAATATGATTACATTGAATCTTTTATTGAAAATGCACATTGTTTGTTGCTTCAGACTTGGTAATTAGAATATATCTATCTAATATTAAACTTCTATGGCCTTTTTTTATATTAGCGATTTCAGAACATTTCCTTCTTATTTAATGGGCCACACAAATCTTAGGCCTTAGGTCTTTGATTCATGGATTTAACTTTATCCGAAACCTTCCCTATGTGTGTGTGTGTGTGTGTGTGTACATATATACGTTAATAAAAGGTATGGAAAGATTCCAAAGGGGTAGGGAAAACGCCGGTGGGGTAAATTCTTGAATTTAATAGAGCAAAGAAAATGGAGGATTCTACTTCTTGAAGGAAAAAAAAAACATAATATGTACTGTGTTATTTCACGGTTCAGTCCAATACCTGTCCGTTTCCGATAACCGGATTGTCGTACCGGGTTTAGGTCAAAATCTCCGGGTTTTTTTTTTTAGTTTTAGTTTTTAACCGTTCTTGGGTTGCTTATGCAAATCCCAAACTGATCTCAGCAGAACAAATATAGAATAGCAATCGAAATCAACCAATGATTATGATTTTTTAAAATCGAAAAATCGAATTCGAAACAAACCCAAACAAAATGTCAAATAATTGATAAAACTGAATATTTTTCTCTAGAAAATAAGTATTTTGTTATTAAAATTCGAAATCTGAACCAAAACCAAGTATATGGAGGGTTTCTAAACATGGCGTTGTAAGTGTTATTTCGCGGGCCGTTTTGGATAATCGGATTATCGTACCGGGTTTAGGTTAAGATCGATTTTGGTTCGGTTTATGCCATAGGGTTAACCCGTTCTTCGCAGACAGTAGTGAAAAAGTTTGAAAATTATGTAAAACGGAAGAATTTTATGCATATAAAAGGGGTAGTAGTCTTTTTATTATAGAAAGTAAATTTTATAAATCCAAAAAACATTATTAGTATTTCTAATGTATGTATGGTATGTTGGATTGGATCAATAGATTTCTCCAATAAGTAGGTAATATAATGGAAAAAGTCAAATATTATTGTATTTCATAGCCAATGTTTTTTTTTAATCATATTATATATATTTTTTTGTATCGGTATACCAATGCCACATAAAATATAGTTTTATGTAGACTTTTATAGCTAAAGCGCATACAACGGATATAAACAATATATGAGAGAATATTTTTTGAATTAATGAGCCATAATATTTAATTATTAATTTTCGAAATTCAAATATTTATTGGAGGCAGAGACAAACCCCCACCAACATGCCTTTGTCTCTCTTACAGACCTAATAAATACCAATTGAAAGCTCAGGGAAAGGTTGTTCCTTAAAAGAACAATACACACATACATATATGCTTACACTCGTACATATTGATCTATACATATGTGTATATATACACAAATAATAAGTTGAAGTAGAAAGCCCAAGTTTTATAATCTAATGTTTTGGTTGGTTAAATATGAGCTTGAAAATAAACTAAATAACTATAAATACATTTGTTGGAATCAGATTTGTCTATTTAGTGATTTTATTTTTACTTAAAAAAGACCATTTTTCCGAAAGAAAATATGATTGAAATATATTTGTTTTTTATAAAAAAATATAGTCACTCATGTGAGGTGAAATATTTTATCAATTAACGTATAAGTTCATACGTATTTTAAGGGAACAAACAATATATATTTTTTTTTATTATTTTGACAAATAAAAAAGAAATATAAAATCAACAAGATTTAACGCATCGATTTGCCGACAAAGAAAACGCCTTAGATTATGGGGGGAAGTCAACTGAAGTTGTAAAAAATTTCGAAAGTTGTATTCTCAACTTCTTCCACGAAAAAAGGATGAAAATTTTGTATAAACATCACTCTATACTATACGTAAATTATGTATCTTCGAAAATAGGTAAATATAAAAAGGGCATATTAATAAATTCATATATATCAAATTTCTTTTCTGTCTCTTCCCGAAAGGATGAGTTGCGTTCAGTATGGCATGCCTATTTAATTTTAAAATTTTAAAATAAGAAAATACATTTTTTTTTTAAAAAAGTATTGTGAAAAAACTTAAATATGTATATATAAAAATTTGAATAAATAAAAAAAAAACATCAAATTTAATACACCAACCTCTTTTTTGTTGTGGGGTTGTTGGCCTAATTCAATGCCCATCTCTTCCATGTCTTCTTACCACTTTGTATTTATAACCTTCTTCACTTTGCAAGCGTACAAACAAAAAACATATAACCCACAATGTTTCGCTCTCTCTCCATTTTTTTTGGGTTTTAGTGTGATTTTCCCATGTTGGAAAAAATAAATCAACGAAATATAATTACGTTTTTATACATTATTAGTAGTCGCATAATCGCTCCAAACCCGGAGATCTCTCTAATGTGTAAGTATTCCTTTCTTTTTTGACGTTTAATTGATTTCATTTACAAAACCTAATTCTTGAGAACATATCTCTTCCCTGCAATCAAATTTTTCATTTTCATTTTTTTCCATATTCAATAAGATGGTTTCGGACGATGGACGAAGATACGAGATATTGGTGCGGTTCAATCACACCGTTGTACTCCAAACTACAAAGGGTTCGATTGTTCGATTGAGCCGTGCCAATATCACGAATGATATCGTAATCCATCGGTATTGATTTGCAAGATAGATTATTCTCTTTTTTAAGGTGGTTTTTATTTTTCGATTTATCTCTTATATATGTAAACTTCATATGCTAATCGTAAAAACCCTAATCTGTTTATCTGTTTTTTTAGAAGAGGAAAAATTCAAATACAATGGAGAAAATCCTAATATGCATATTTTACTTTTCAAAGAAAAAAACTACAAATACAATCTTTATAAGAATACATAAATTATATTCCCTCTCTCTCTCTCTCTCTTTTGGCATCAAATACATGTATGTTCATTGTGGGTGACTGCCTTGTACATTGGAAGTGCCTTTGTGGTTGTGGTGTTTTGTAGGAATTCGAAGACATAAAGATAAGGAAGTGGAGAGTTAGAAATTTAATTTTAAAAAAAAAAAATTCAAATTTAGAGAATGAGGGAATTTTACTTTGGACTATGATGTCACACAAAGGTGATGATCATTTTCATTGTATCATAAAAGAAAGAATCAGAGATAACTTAGCAGGAGATGATGAAGAAGAAGAATCGAAGAAGAGAGCCGAAATCAAGAAAGTTGAGAGACCAAGTGAAAAAGTTTTATCTATCTTTTATAAGAACCGAATATATATATATAAACATATAGGTGAATGTATTTGAGGGTTTTTTTTATGATTCATATTGTAAAGATAGAATCTTAGAAAGAGTGGGAGTATATTTAGAATTTGTACAAATGAATAAAATAAAAAAAGGTTTGTGAAAATTTCCGGGGTGTTCGAATGTTTTTATTTAGAATTCAATGTATATTTGCAGGTAAGAAAATATTTATAACTGCTATATATATATATATAGTTTTCTAATGAAATGTGAATGAGAGGATCAAAAGACGTTTTGTATTTTGCACCTAAAAGGATAACCATAAATGGGAATGTGAGATTTTTATTCCTTTAAATCTATGTATCATTAAACCGCACAAAAGGGGAATATATGTAACATAAGATTTACTACAAAACCCCGAGTATTACCGAATTCGATAGAAGCTGTTAGTTTTCTTTACCAATTAGGAAAAAGTATCATCAACACATAAGAGAGTTCATGTGTGTATATATATATATATATATATATATATATATTCGTTTAATCAAACACTAATTTTGGTTATGGAGCATTCATAATCACTAACTAAAGTTTTTTTAAAAAAAAGAATCTCAAGTGTAATGATTCGTATAATAACTTAGGTATTATAGCTTGTTCCCTAGTTGTTGTTTCCATTGATGTATGCATGTATGTGTTTGTATATATGTATACATGCATGCATATATATATATATATATAGTTTTAATTTTGAAAAAAGAAAGAGTAAATGAGGGGAGGAGGAGAGGAAAGCATGTGGAAATAAATGAAAGGGGGAAAGAGAGGGTCAGAGGGAGAAGACAATAAGGGCAATGTCTGTCATAGGACGAACCAAATGTGACCAACACTATCCCTCTTGTCCCCTTTTCCATGCACTTCCCTTTCTTTTTAATTTCCCCCCTCGATTTTAATTCACATCTCATTTCCATCTCTCATTTTCTTTTAAAAAAATAAAAAATAAAAACCCATTATCCAGCAAAATTATACATACGTTTAAAAAAAATATATCGACAGTTTTATAAAATGGTCATCAAAACGTATAAATTGTTTTTTTCTCGTGGAAAACAGGAAAAAAAAACCATTATATTATATACCTATTTAAATCTGTAAAACAATAAAAGCGAACGCTAGACGGCGTTATCTCTGAAGAAACTTTAACGCCCATAACGCGTCATCGCGTTCACCGCAACTTTCGTGAACGCTCGACATCCTCTCGACCGATCTGCAAATGCCGCTGCATTTCCAGTCGAACGCCGCTGCACATCCGTAGCGGGTTAACATCTTCAGCTCGCAATCTGCAAAAAGAACACGCAATCCGGGTTTCATCCTAAACCGGATCTGATCTGAACATGCTAAACCGGGAATCTGAACCGAACCAGGAGTTTGGTTTTTGACCAAATTCAATTCAGTAGGGGTGGACATTCGGTTCGGTTATTCATAAACTGAACCGATCTAAACCGAATAACAAGTACATGTAACTGAACCGAGCCCAATATAACTACTGAATAGTTATAGTATTTTTAATAACCGAAAAAATATGCCCGAAATGAATATAAATATAAAAATTATAAATTTCTTTTTTTTAAAAAAAAAGAAAAGCATTTTTATCATTAAAAACAGAGTTCAAACTTCAAACCAAATCCGAATCGAACATAAACTCCGAATGGATATCGAGTTTTTCAAACCTAAAGAACTGAAAACCAAAATTCAGCAGAACCCGGAAGGAAAGAACTGAACTTTTTTTACCTGGTGGTGTACCGCAGCAGAGCCTTTTATCGTCGACGTGTTCTACCTTTAATCCGATGAACCATGAGCCTAACGAGACGTCTTCATTCGCGTATTTGTGCAGCAAATCCCTTACCCGCGAAGAAAATGTATTGGGAGAATCTCAGAACTAAAAATCTCGGGTGGAAATGGAAAGTTTGCTGAAAGAACTGGAAAAAACTTACTGGTTTATCAGAATATACGTCGCGAGATCTTTGGATATTGCGTATAACTGTCCCGTGGCATGTCGGAAATACTTGTTACCTACCTCCCCAAATTTCCAATACTCCGGTTCGTGATACTTCACACCCCTACATTCACACCGAAATCTTCGTTTACTTCAAATCCGACACAGTTTTTAACCGTAAAAACCTGAGTTTTTATACTGACTTTTGAGAAAGGACGGGACCCGACTTCATGCATCCGACATAAACCCGAGATTTGTTGCGGTGTGTGGATAATATCGTTGCAAGTGTTGCTGCAGAAGGTTCAGACACAAAAAAGGGAAAAAAAGACATTAAGAATGGCCACTTCTTGCAAGATTTTCTTGTCTCTCTGTTGTTACTGATAGATTATCGAGCTGACGGTCCATGAGATGCCAAAAATCTCGTAACGATAATTAAGATAACATGGATTTTTATTTACCGAGATTCACGTGAATGTCATCGTCTACTTTTACGTAGAATTCTGCATCCCACAGGGAAACAGCGGTCGAGAAGAAAACCTTTGTCTTGGCTGATAATTCCATGTATCCCTCTGTGTGTTCCTGCTTTTGATTTGCAAACCATTTTGGAAATGCATCGAAGAAAGCTTTATCAATCCGACATCCAACACATTCAAGAAAAAAGATGGATAATAAAAACAAGAATAGGAAAACCCGAAATGCGTTTACCAATCTCAAGAAATCTCCGTGCATTTTTTCCTCGGCTTCGATAGCTTTATCAAGAATCCCTCCAAACAATGTGCTAAGAGTAAACAGAAATGTCAATAATCACTGAGAAACTCTGTCTAAACAGTCGGATTTCGGAGAGGAACGTATTTCTCCTATTCCAGCCCCGAAAATTTCCAAGATTGCTCTTTTTATGTTCATCCTTTCCCCGAGAGGAAGAAAAATTTGTACCTGTGACCAATAACGAAGCGAATGATGATACCCTTCGCTTCCTCCAGCTTCTTAAGCTTCTCTCCTTGAGATATTTTCAACCGAAAAATTCATTTCCGAGGTTAGATGTCTAAAGTGCACTTAAACAAAAAAAGGAAAGAGAAAACCCGAGAGCCCACCTTGTGGCATCCATGTTTCACGAACTGAATCTCGTCTTTTACGGCTACTGAAGGCAGTGTTAATCCCGATAACCATAAAGTATTTTCTCTTATCGGTCCGTCTAGAAACATTCAATTTCCCGAGCAAAGACTCACGCTCGGCTCTAGTGGCTACTAACTTCATCTCTAAACTTGAAATTGCTTTGTCCAAAATCCTGCATTTTGATAGCAAGAATATTTAGTCTTTTTAACTTCCAAACTTACCCCATGAAACTAAGCCTATCTTGTTTCAGGAAACATCTCGGAAAGCGCCTGAATAGTTTACCCGATACTGTTATTGGCTGAATGATCCAAAACCTGCAAGTGAAGGAAATGAGAATAAGAGAAAGGGTATTTATATGAAAAAACAGATAGAAAGTTGTAAACTTTCCGGGTCAAATCTTCGAGCAAATGGAATGAAAAACGAGTATAGTCCAAGTTTCTAGTCAATTTTCTGATCAAATTAAAGACCCACCAGTTCATACTTCATCTAGAACCGAGCAGGGAGTTAACAAAAATAACTTGTGTTTGGCCTACCAAGTGGGAAAGAGGTTCATCATAAACAAGAACAAGTCGAGCTTGGCCACAATGAGTAGAATGAAGTTGGTTTGCCAAGTTTTCAAAATCTTGCTGGATCCGGGGATGACTCTACCTTCTGGCACTATCCATAACCTGATAGAATGTCAGCCAAATACTAAAACGATTCATTCATTTTACAATAGTGCCCAAGACCAAATTCATGTTTCTGCAATTTGGATATAGAACTTGGAATAATTGGGAAACCGGTAAGGAGATCCACAGTGAATTGATAAAGGGTTCACCATATTTTGAAAGAAGATAAAAGAAAGATACACCATTTGAATGAACCAAAATAATTATTAGAAAAGACTACAATTTTGTCTGCAAGTTCGTTCCTCTTCAGAATCGCAGGATCAGTGTCGGTGGTAACAAAGCATTAAGGATCCAACAAAGATGGAACTGTCTGATACAAGACTGTAATAATATTCACCGACAAAACAGAGAAATGCTAAAACAGAATCTGAAAGGGAAAAAACTACTTGTAATTCACAGGAAGCAGAGGTTTCTGAGACAAAATAACAAAAGGGATTAAGCAGAACTCGAAGAAAGGAATAGAACGACAAAATCATAACCGGAAATTACCAAATTCAGGAACAGCTAAAAATCAGACGAGAACCTTAAACCCGAAGATGCATATACCTGTTAGTGAAGAACATTCCCAAACAGAAGCTCGCAAGGCACAAGAAAAATGCCCAGTTCCTTGAAATGACATTTCTCGGAGAAAAATAGTATTCTCCTCCTCCTCTGCTCTTGACAGACATTTGGGTCTCTGCTAAAATCCCTGAATTCAGTCGGAAGATTAAAAAAAGATTAAAGATTTAAGAAACCCAGAAGCCTGATTTGTCTTTAGGAATCAAAGATCCGAATTCACAGATTCTTTTGCACTGATGCACCCTTTCTACCTGAAAGAGATGCATGGAGAAAGGACAGCCCAGGGATCGCTTCACTTTTTTATAATTTCTGGGCTCCAAATTAAAGAAGAATTAACACTTGAGAGACGTTTACAGACTTTTGGAGATCATAGAAACTGATAATTTCGGCTACTAATGATAAAAGAATAACCGAAAGGTCAGAACCCAACACTACGTACTGCAGATGGAAAACGGGTCAAGTGGGTCGGATTCGGATCATGATCCGGGTCTGCTTGGTGTTCCTTTTTTGTTTTTTCAGCGAAAATTTATCAAATTCAAATAAAGCAAAAATAAAGAAATTTTAGAAAAACAAAAGTAAGTTTGTGGCTGCTGGGATTCGAGCCCAGGTCTCCACGGCCACAACGTGGAATTCTAACCACTAAACTACAGCCACTTTTGTTGATGATGTAGAGTATATATCCCATAAATTATTATTTCGATTCAAAGCCAACAACCTTACAAACAGTTTGACGATCTTCAAGTGTTTTGGTTTGGTAATTTGAGTGGTTACAGAACAATAACGAGGTCATATAACCAGTGAGATCTCTCCCTCAAAAACTCAAAAAGAAACTCTGTACACAACAGAATGTGGAAATGGTGGGAAGTGTTCTGTCTCTCTCTTATCACTTTCTTGCAGAGTGATAGAGCTCCAGGTACTCCAGGGCAGGGCGGTTCCATGACCAGTTTTGCTCCATCACCCTCTTGCATAGCGAATGGAACCACTCTCTACCATCATACCAAGCTGATATTGCCCTGAAAAGATAAAAACAACCATCCACCCATATAAGGACGAAGAATGTTCCAGAAAATGCATATTCTCTCTGAGAATATTGCCTAGAAGACGTCCGAGGTGTCTGTCCTAGCCACCAAAACACTTCAAACTCAGTCAGGACATGGCCCTGAAGATGTTTCAGACTGTGTTTATACGGCATAGTTCACAAACTTATAAGACATGATGTCTCAGCTGCATCAAATAACAGGATACAAAATCTACATCCATGATAATAGCTTATCGGAGCAGAAAGACGTAGAAGTTTCATCTGGGTCTGTGACCCGAACCGTAGTTTTCAATTGTAATATTTTACATAGTGCAAGTGGGTTCTGGTGCAAAGTCTTGAATTACCTATTAAGAGCATAATCGACACCAGCAGAATCAGCCCCGTCGAAGCTGAAGCCATTGGGTTCAAGACCTTGAGCTTCTGCTCTGTCTTTATCATGGTCAACGTCAAAAACAGTGTCGTAGAGTCCTACAGGAATTTAGTACAAAACACCTCCAGCTCAATCATCAAGAACACAACAAGTTTCAAGATTTCATTGTTTCAAAGAAGTAGAAAGAAGAAAAGGAATACTACCTCCAGTTTTTCTTACAACAGGAATAGCACCATATCTCATGGCTGTAAGTTGTGTCAATCCACAGGGCTCAAATATTGATGGAACCAATATAAAGTCAGCACCCGCGTAAATCTAGAGTTTAGAGGTGGGAAGGAAAAGTGATCAGGATCACGATTTCCGAAAAATGAAAAATGAAAATGATTCAGACATCGTGAGTTAACAAAAATAACTTGTGTTTGGCCTACCAAGTGGGAAAGAGGTTCATCATAAACAAGAACAAGTCGAGCTTGGCCACAATGAGTAGAATGAAGTTGGTTTGCCAAGTTTTCAAAATCTTGCTGGATCCGGGGATCTGGTGCTGAACCTAGCAAGACAACCTGCTTTCAAGAAACCCAAAAGTAAGAATTCTGAAACCCCAATCACAAGATTTTAGGCTGAAAAGTGAAAAAAAAAAAACAGACCTGTCCGTTCCGTTCCAAGGTACGCCAAATCGCGTGCTTGATCAAGTGTATTCCTTTCTGATGAGTTAAGCGTGTAATGATTCCTACTAATGGAAGGTCGGCTCTTTTCAGGCCAAGCCTATTTTGCAACGCTTCCTTGGCAGCTCGTTTGCCTTCAACAACGTTCTCTGGAGTATACGGCACCTAGAATAACCATGTAAAGGTTTCCTATTTTACAAAACCATTTTTTGCAAAAACCCAGAACCATATAACAAGAAAGTTGAAGGGAGAGATACAGAAGAGGGGGAAAGTATATGATAAAGCTTACAGGAATGAAGTTATCGTTGTACGGATCCCATATATCCGGATCAATCCCGTTTATTATTCCATGGAACTTATGGAGATGTGGAGCAATTACTGGGTTTCCAGAAACTTCCTTGGAGTAAGTACGGGAGACCTATTAAGGTAAACAAACATGATAATATTTGATTATCGGCTTCTCAGAGGAAAAAGAATGAAATATATTTCCAAATACCAAACATTAGATTTCTTGAGGAGCGTTTTTCAGCACTTACTGTTGTAGCTTTGTCTGCATATTCCATTGCTTTACCAATCAGATTATCCCCAAATTCCAAATTATGTATCGTGAAGACAACACGGACTTTACTTAAACCGTAGTGCATGTAATGATCCTTGAATAACCATGCAACTGGAGCACTGGACCAGTCGTGACAGTGAATTATGTCCTGTATGAAGTTGAGCATGCGCCAAAGAAGTTAGAATGCATGGAAAGTGAAGAAAGCTCGGTTTTTTTCTTACAAAACCTTTTTTTTTCAGAGAGAAATCTCAGTAACATGAGAATTATACAAGTGTTATATGAGTGAAATTATATACGTACAGGATGAAACCCCCCTTGGAGAAGAAATTCGAGAGCAGCATGACAAAAGAAACCGAATCTTCCTGCATCATCAGAACAGCCATATACACATCCTCGCCAGAAAAGTCTGCAAATATAAGGACAAGAAAAGGTAAAAACAACTTTCTGTATGCCCTTCAAGATATAAAAGCATCATGGACAATGCTTGTGCAAATATTTCAAGAACTCAGGAGAATGAATTACTTTACCCATTCTGAGGCTCAAGGAAGTAAACAGAGAGGCCTTCCACCTTCCCATGCCAAACTTTGATTTCGACTCCACCCCAGTGATAACTTCTGTTGAATTCCAAGTCCTTTACCTGTTTCATAATAAAGATATATGTTTCTGGGCCAACAATGTAAACAATAACTGAAAGTAGAAGAAAGCCAAGACATGTCCATATAAGAAGAATTTCAGACAAGAAACTTTGATGCTTACATGGTTGTGTTTTAAGCAGTCATACTTTGGAAGAATGATATCCACATTATGGTTTAGCTCTTGAATGGCACGGGATAGACTCGTGACCACATCACCTAGGCCTCCAACCTGCAGGATATATAAGAAGAGCTACTAAGTCACGAGTATATAGTACCTACACTATGTAAGATATGTATATGTCAATGGTAGTCTCTAGTCTGTAACTAGGATGTGTGTATCTGTCCATGTCGAAAAGGGCATGCATATTTCATGGAAAGAAAGTGTGAAACTGCAAATGAGAGCCATGCTTCATGCTCTTACCTTTGCAATGGGTGCCATTTCAACAGCAATATGGACAATATTCATTGGAGGCTCTTTTACAATCCCATCGACCACGGGCAAATGGTAATCCATGCTGTGGTTGTTATCAAATATCCCACCATCTTCTCTCTCAGAAAACACAAAGTCCATCTTATAAGCATCCAATGGAACTCTAACTGGAAAAAAAGAGAAACGTGGTCACACACCTCAGCTCTTACATGAACCTGTCTAGAATATAACATGACATCAAACTATTACCAACTCAAAAACTCACCCGTAGTTTTCACATGGGACCCGTTCTCTGATTGTATCATCTTTTGAGGTGGCAATGGACCCATGCGGTGAGTCCAACGGTTAAAAGAGCATCTGAACCAAATCTCGGGCTTTCCATTCAAAACGGTATTGGAAGGATTGTAGAAAACTGTCACCGAGCTACCTGCTTGAACATCTAGAGGATCGGTGTAAATCACATGCCTCTGGGAAAGCAGGAACCTTTCAAATGTCTTCTTTTTTGTCTCAGCTTTCAAACGTGCTGTTTTCTCTACCTATAATAAGAGGATTAGAAAATTAAACAAAACATAATCAGACACGTGACAAGAATGAGAGTAGTAATCTCTTTATTTCCTCTAACAAGTTGAGTAAGAGGAAAATGTCTTAAGACTCCCGATTTCTTGTCTTGTCTTAGCACTAACCTTGGCACGTATAGCCTCCTCTCTTAACCGCCTCTCCTCCTGAAGTTTCTTAAATATCAGATTTTCTTCCTCTAACCAGTAAAGTTCTTCAGGAGGCCTTCGGGGGACAACTGCATGGAAATCTTGGCGATTATTATTGTCGTACAGAACAGCTCCTTGAGGCGGTCCATCAGCAAAGACCCAGTCAATTACAAGGGCTCTATCAGGCACAAAAACTGCAAAAAAAAACAGAAGTTATAAAAAATTACTATGAATTAAAGACATGTAATACACAATAAAACAGGCTAGTTCATCAAAAAGCTAATAGGGAAATAGAAAGAAACCAACCTTCAGCATACCACCAATCAGCAACCTTTACGTCTGCTTCTTCTAACTCAGTATCAACGAGCTTTGCAACGATCGATAACCCGTCCACCCAATTGTTATATCCTCCATGCAACCAGATTTCTTTGGCATTAGCCAGAGGACCCGAGATTTTGTTGTAATAAAGCTTGACTTTTTCTCCACCCTTAAAATCACTCGGCTCTGTATACCAAACGTTCTCGACAGATATTTCGGCTCTCTGGATAGCCCTTTTGAGCACTTCCCGTCTCTTCTGAGCATCTATCTTAGCTTGTGCCCTATCAGCTTCCGCTGCAGCTTTCTCAGCTTCAATTCTCCTTTTCTCTTCCTCTTGCCTTTCCCTCTCAGCCTTCTCCTTAGCAAGTTTCTCTTGCTCTCTCCGTTTTTCTTCCAGAAGGAAATTTTCAAACTCAAATACATCCATTCCACCTTCCACATCCACAGTGAAATCTTTCTCATCATTGTTGTCGTACACACTTTGCCCGTTGAAGAACACAAAATCCATCTTATATGCTTCTTTCGGGATATGAAGGAGGCATGACCACCAATCCCCTTTGAGCTGTGTCTTCTCCAATCTTCTTGTAAAGGATTTCCATCTCCAATCATTGAACGCCCCCATGATCAAAACATCAGGTTCGCTGTTCAATGTAGATAGATTCCGGTTGAGAAACACTTCCATATCTTCATCGGGTTTTGCAATCGGGGGATAAGTAAACATTCTAATGCCTCTTGCCAAATTCTCATCAGCAAGTGCTTCTATTTCTTTCCTACGCTGAATTTCTCTTTCCTTTTCTAACATTAATCTCAAAGACTTGTCATCCTCAGATGTTGCCTTATTTCTGGCACTACTCCCAGAAACAGTTTCCTTTTCTTGCACAGCTGAAATCTCAGCTTCCTTGCCAATGCTTCCATTTTCAAGCATCATAAGGTTTTCACTAGAACCTGACTCTTGAATTGTTGATGGGAGTTCTTCTTCTTCATCTTCTTCTTCATCTTCTTCTTCCTTTAATGTCTCGGATTCGTTGTCCATTTCGTTTTCAAGAATCATCTCGCCAGAAGTAACAGACCCTTTTTGTTCCATGTCTACTTTTGCTCCGAGCAATTTATTGCTTATCTCTGGAAACTCATTTGGAACTGTAGTAGTGGCGATGTCATCTTTCTCAGCGGTTTTCTTCTGATTTCTTTTCTGGGAACTTCCTACCGGTGTCCTTGGCACAAAACCTCTGGGAGTTGAGCTTTTGGGTCCTGAAGCCGCCATTCTTCCTTGCTTCCTCCTCGAAAAATCTTTAAAATAAATAACAAATGAATCAGCAGAATCGATCATTACAACAAAATGAAAACTTGAAAATGGGAATTGATGCTATTCTGTACTAACCTGCACTTGCACTGATCTTTTGCAGAATATCATTTGATGGGTAATGACTCCCCCCTGAAGGAAGCTGAAACCAAAACATTTCCAGATTAAGAATTTCCAATGTTATAGATTATGCAACAGAACTAGGATGCATCACTACATCTACATCAACATCGACATTAACATCAGCATCGCATTAATCCCAAGTTTATTTGGGATCGGTCGCATGAATTTTTCGTTCCCACTGATTTCGGTTTTGAGTTAGACCAACTAGGACGCATCACTATAAACACAAAAACCAAGAACATCCAAATTACCAACATCAAGATAGACACGATGGAAAATTTCACCATTGTACAAGTCTAATCCATTCCTAACGCCACATAGTGCAACCAAATTCATTCTTCCCAGTTTCAAAGCCATTATTATATCCCCAAATGCATCACTATAGAAGATTCTAGCACTGTAAATTCGATCTTTTTCATAACCCCAAATAACTTAAAACTACAATCCACAGACTCCAAACAAGTTTCTAACACGAGATTACTAGCTCAGACAGTAAAACTCCTCATCATGGCCCCATTTTGTTCTGCCTACACTCTCGCTTGGCTCTAAATTGGATTTTGAAAACACACTCTTCATCTCAGAGACTAATCTTATACAGAAGCCAATAAACTGCGCACTAAAATTCTACAGAGGAGCAACTACGGAGCATCAAATACTGAGGCATACATATATGCAGGGATATGTACACAAGTATACGAATATGAAAAGGATAAAAAAAAAGGAGATTTACGCTAGAAAAGGTGAAAGATCTGGAGCGAGGGGAACACCCAAGAAAAGTTTTTATCTTTAGACGACCCCTTTCCCCGAAAACCGGTCTGAAGCTCGTCGATCCCTGTATCTGCAAGCCCACTTCCATGGCTGCCGCCGAAGAAGAAGAAGAGAGAGAGAGAGAGAGAGAGAGAGAGAGAGAGTTGGCCTGTAAGTATATGCCCTGAAGGAGGAAGGGAGAGAGAGAATGTCTGCTTCACCAGAATCCCAAGGCCATTTCTCAATCGCTGAAACTGATCTCGATTTTATTTTATTTTTTCCTTAAATATATAAATAATTTTTTGTTGGGTTTCTTATAAAATCGAGAGAGGAGAAAGATATTTAAGCTGTTGCATTATACGCTTTGATTGATTCATTAAACAATTACCCAACTTTTCTCTCTCCAGAAAAAAACAAACTCCAAACTGTGCAAACCAATTAATTTTTTTTATAATTATAATCCAATCGAATTAAATATTTATTCAGCTATAAATATTTTGAAATTCGTGCCCATTATATTCGAAGCCAAAAGTCAAGCGATTCACAAAACTTTTATCTGAAAAACATTACCAAAAAAACATTCGGTAGAAAATTCATTAGAAAAATAACATGAATTTTAATATAAATTCTATGGGATACTTCCTATTTCTCTGTGCCGAAAATAAATAAAATATTACAGAATATCATCACGACCGTTGATGACCTAGAAAAATTCGTAATGCCACGTAACCAAAAATATTTACCAAATATAATAAATAATATGTACTGTTATGGTAACATATCAGACTGGTTAATATTGAAATAATTAAAATCAAACAGATATCATTCAATAATCAGTTCTTCAAAAACTAATTATTAGGATATTAGCCAGGAGTTGATGGTATGGTGGTTGTGAAAGCACAAAGTGCTAGCCACGCCCAGAGTTCGAATCCTGGCAATCACATATTATCAAAAAAAAAAATTATTAGGGTATTAATCATATTATAGAGCCCGTGACTGGAACCACAGACCAATGGATAACAGCCACGTGTCTGGCGTTGCTTCTCTTGTCATTGTGTCCGTTGATTCTCATCGGGGGGTCCACATGTACGAGAAAGATCCAAATCTAGAGTCCTTGATAGCGATATTCGTCAAGAAAACCTTCTCCACGGTCCAGAGTGTCTGGGGGCTAGTACCGTATCAGACAAGTAAACAGTGTCGTTTAATTTAACGGTGCTTGACGGAAAACGTAACGGTCATCTTGCCGGCTTTTGCCTCTGTGCTACACAAAAGGGCTCGCTTAAACTGGTGAAACCTTTGGACTCAAGCCAAAGCTTTAGGGACCGATCACAATTCAAATGATTTATTCAAATTACATCAATAGATTTATGTAATGAACAATTGAAAATATAAAAAATAAAATAAAACATGAAAGAAGAATAAGAATGTTTCAATCTGATGGAGGCGTTGTAGCATGTTGTGTGGTGCTCCTCATCATGTTGCGAAATTCTTGGTAATTTATTCTTCCATCCTTTTTTTTTTCATTTATGTAAACACACAATATTCACATGTTAGAATAACAAATTCACAGTTAAATAATATGACATTAATAAACCATATATAAATAAAATCGTACGCTAAAAACGTATCATCCAAATCATAGTTTCTGTTGTCTATGGATCATCCGAAACGTATGATATATATATATATATATATATA